TTGTGCAATGCCCGCAGAGGTCAGAAGAGGCTGTCGGATACCCTGGGACTGGAGTTATGAACAGTTGTTAGCTGCCATGGGGGTGCTGGGATTCAAACCTGGGTCTTCTGCAAGAAACCAGTGTTCTTAACACTGAGCCATCTCTCCAGCCCCACCTCCATCAGTTTTAATAAAACAAAACATGAAGGCCATGTACAGCTTTAATCTCAGCACTCTGGAGGCAGAGGCAAATAGATCTCAGTGAGTTCCAGACAAACAAATAAAAAAAATCCCCCCAAACCCCAAACACGAGTAACTGTCTTATTTGGAAACCATTTTAACAGATCAAATGTAATACCTAGCTTGAGGCACAGAGGAATTCCACATAGTGATGGTCGAATTAGGAGTCCTTTATTAACTGTGGTCAGAGAGGGGGCTAATGCCCAAAAGCACTCTGAACCCCAAGGGAGGCAGAATGAGGGTTATAAAACTTAAAACCACAATTACATCATGCCAGGTGCAAAGCCAATAACTATAGTTACATCAGATCACCGTAGTTACACCAAACTGGGGCAGGCTAGTTAACAAACAGGTTTTCAGTTAACAAAAAGTTTCAGTTAGGAAAAACAACTCTCTCAGAATTTCAGAGACAATGGGCTCCATGAAGATGCAGGTACAGCTGGGTGGGAGGACATGCTGCCTAGCTACTTGTAAGTTTCCCAGTATTGTAGAAACAATGTACCCCCTGAAACTACAGGTGCTCTTCATGGCTGGCTGGCTACAGTGGGAATGGCTGGGCAAAAACACAGGGTAAAGCAAAAGTCAGCTAGAACAAAATGTAGTTTTGCCATTTCACAAATCTCAGTTGAAATAAAATATTTTTAACTCTATTTGGAAACAGTCTCACTTTGTGGTCCAGGCTTGCCTGGAACTCATGATGGTTTTTCCTTAGGCTCCCTGTTAGAGCTGTGATCAAAGGAGTGTATCACCACGCCTGGCTTCTACTTTTCATTTCAAATACAAGGTTCTGTGAATGAAGTTTTTAAAATTTTATTTTATATGTATGAGTATTTTGCTTGCATGTACGTAAGTGCACTGGTGGTGTGCGGTGTCCACAGAGGCCAGAAGTGAGCATTGGATCCCCTGGAACATTACCGCCACGTGGGTGCTGGGGATGGAACTTGGGTCCTTTGCAAAAGCAGCCACTGTTCTTAACTGCTGAGCTATTTCTCTAGCCCCTATGAATGACCTTTTAAAAACAATTACATAGTGTGTACCTGTAGGTTTAAAATTACTATTTTAATTTTTTTGAGCCATGGTCCCCACTGTGGTCCCCCTATGGCCCTCCTATGGTTCCAGCTGGCCTGGAATTCACTGTGTAGACCAGACTGGCCTTGATCTTACAGAGATCTGCTTGCTTCTGCCTCCCAGTGCTGGGATTAAAGGTGTACCATCATGCCTGGCCTAGGTTTAATGTTTTTCTCCACCCTACCCATGACTCTCCCACCCTTATGGAAATGGAGATTAGATTCAGTTTAATACTGCAAGGTACATTTGTTAATTTTTTAAATGATAAGTATGGATTTTATTTTTATTTTATAGAAGAGGCAATCAAACCTCAGTTTATTTTTAATTTTTATTTATTTATTTGTGTGTGTGTGTGTGTGTGTGTGTGTGTGTGCATGTGCCTGTGGAGGCCATAAGGGAGCATCAGATAACTGTGGAGCAGGGGTTCCAGAGGTTATGAGCAGCCTGATATGGGTGCTGGGAACTGAATTCTGGTCTACTGAGCCATCTCTTCAGACCCCAGTGTTTATTATCTAATATGTGACTTATGAATAAAGAATCAATGGATGCTTTCTGACTCCAAGAGCCAAGTCCATGGCTCTTTCCCTGATATACTACTTCTTTTAAACTTAAAAAAAATTAGTGATGGCCTGGTGTGGGTGCACGCCTTTAATCCCAGTACTTGGGAGGCAGAGGCAGGTGGATCTCTGTGAGTTCAAGGCCAGCCTGGTCTACATAGTGAGTTCCAGGACAG